TATAAAATTACTTTAGGTAAAACAAATAAACAAGAGCTACCAAAGAGTAGTTTCTCGGGCAACGGTTGAGCATTTCAAGGAAGGAAAAGATATTGACTGTGGCAATACTGACAGTGACAGACGCCGGCGTGGGACAGGCACTGAAATAAACAACCAAGAAGAGAAAATGTACGGTTCCAAAGGCATACGACACACTAGCAAGTGCGTTTGTTGCCATTTTTTTGTCCAAAAAATGCCACAATAATGGCGAAAGTGGCCTAAAAAGTTGCCATTAATTTTCAAGCTTTCAACTAGCAATGACGACGTAATATATTGATAGAGGTAACTTAGTCTAAAGCACCAGAATTTCTTGAGCTCTGTTTTAAGCATCCATAATATTACTTGTAGCCACATAGAGTGTAAAAACGAGAACAATAAAGGTTTCACAACAGAATTAAATCAAAATTAGAACAGCACAGAAACAACCGCAAAAAGTAACAAATAAGGGCGTGTGTCCACCTATCCGAAGATTGGCAGTTTTAACCCTAAATGTGTTTAATTCAAGAAAAAGTACAGGACATTACATGTAAATTATGGAATCACACACAAAGGGACTGCCAGTGTCTGTATTCGGCTTTGGTGGAGACATGCTCTAACATAACATTTTTATTTTTTTTCAAAATGTAGGAACATCAAATTAAATGACATTACGCTATATAAACACACACACACACACATAGATAATAAAAATTAGCACACCAACAAAGAGGGGAAAATAAAAGACAAACAGCAATATAATGAATAGTACCTAATGTACTTATTATTATTCTTCGCGTGAAAATAACTATACATGGACACCTTAAACTTAAAATGATCAAAATACACGTCAATGTTATGAAGTAGCCCTTTCTTTTTGAAAAATGAGACAAACGCAGACGCTAGGACAAATCGACATACACGGTTTCTACATCTTGTTCTCATTAATATATAGAGTATAATATATTTATATAGAAAATTAACGAGGCAGACGTAGAGAAAGAATTACTCACATGTACTAAGAAAACTCGCAGTGACGGATGGTGGGGAAAAGATCAGGAGAATATTATACATGCATACGTAATAGTGGCGTCGGTGGTGAAGTGGTTAGGCTACCGGATCCGTGATCATGAGGACGCAGGGGTTTTGTTTGTTTGTTTGGTTGTTTTGTTTTTGTTTGTTTTTTTTGGGGGGGAGGGGGGTCGCCCGATATTAGAGGTAATATTAGCAAGAAAATGGCCTCCAAAATTTCTGAACTTCCAAAACTTGGGTGTCCTCAGAAACTGCTAATTTCGATCTACATTTTTTCGTGCTTTTGTCAGCTTTACGCCCACACCCAAGTGTTAAGATTTAGAAGCTAGCTTTCCAAAAACACAAATATGTGAAGGTGGATATTAATTTTGTTCCTGCAGTCTTCAGATATAAACGAGAGAAAATAAAAAGATAACAAAAAATGATATATATCTAAATTATATGGATATAGAGAGATAGAAAAAGAGAGAGTGTTAGAGAGAGAGCGAGAGAGAGAGAGAGAGAGAGAGAGAGAGAGAGAGAGAGAGAGAGAGAGAGAGAG